AACAATGGGCCCTTAATCCAACAAAATGAACTTTAATATGGAGAAAAGAAAGGCTTTACACCTGGGCAGGAAAAGCCAAAGGTACAAGTACAGATTAAGCGGAATCTGGCTCAAAAACGGTAAATTTGCGAGGGGCCTTGGAGTCCTAGTGAATGATCACTTAAAAGTGAGCCAGCCGTGTGTGGCAGCAGCCAAAAGAGCCAATACAATCCTTGGTTGCATAAACAGGCATAGAATCAAAATTAGTACCGGTTTATAAAGCCTTAGCAAAGCCGCGTCTGGAATCCTGCATCCAGTTTTGGTCACCGCATCACAGGGAAGATGTTGAGATTTTGAGAAAAGTGCAAAGAAGAGCAACCAAGATGATTAAAGGCCTGGAGAGTAAAACGTATGAAGAACCTTTGCAGGAATCGGGTAATGGCCCAGTCTAGAGAAAAGAATGGGGGGGGGGGACATGATAGCCGTATGCCAGATTTTGAGAAGCTGCAATGAAAAGGAAACGGTCAATTTATTTCCCAATGCACCAGAGGGCAGGACAAGAAAATGGATGGAAACTAATCAAAGAAAGAAGCAACCCAGAATTAAGGAGAAAATTTCCTAACAGGACAATGAATCACTGGAACAGCCATCAGAAATTGTGGGTGCTTCGTCACTGGGGGGAGGGGGTCAGAAGAGACTGGACAGTCACTTGTCTGAAATGGCAGAAGATCTCCTGCTTGAGCAGAGGGCAGAAGACCGCCAAGGTCCCTTCCAGCTCTATTCTTCCCTCCGCCTCCAGGCAGACCTCCCTGAGAAACAGGGGGGAGGGGGGTCCCCAGTGGAGCCGCTGCTCTCTTCTTACTGCCTCTGCCACACCAGAGGAGACCAGTGACCTTGGGGGCGAAGCAGAGGCTGGCACTGCGGGCTTAGGGTGCTCTGAACCCGGCTGTTTTCCTGCAGTTGTTTCATTACCAGCGCTAGCAGGGGGCGGGGTTTGCTCCCATTTTATATGCGAGGAGGAGGAGGAGGAGGAGGAGGAAGCATTCTCTGACCCATCCAGACTGTCCTCCAAGGGCACGCCTGGGGTCTCCACAGATGAGCCAAGGCAAAACCTATTCTTCCCTTGCCCTGTATGTCGCTTCTATCCTTAAATCCTCTTGGAGTTGGCCAAGCTGCATGCAGCCTTATCCAAAGGGGCCCCAGACGTTCCTGGAGGCAATCGCTCAACAGAAGATGTCATATTCAAACCCCAGCCTGGCCAGAAGCTGCAACTCTTTATTTAGCTACTCATACCTTGTCATTTTGGACCCGACCATCATTTCAAGGAGCCAGCAGACAACTTCATTCCCCCTGGACTGGGCTACCAGTCAAGCTTTATTGGCAGCGGGTTCCTGCTAGGGAACATGAGCCTGAAAAAGCCCCAGAAAAGGTTCAGTGCCCGTCAGTCAGCGCCCGTCCTGATGGAAGTCTTTTGGGCTGGATGAAGGCCCCCAGGCAGCCCCCAGGCGGGAAGGCTCCCCCAGGGGACCAGCCACGTAGCCAGGAAAGATCCACCGCTCGCCTCCATTCAACCCTTCATTGAGCGCCGCCATCAGCTCGCACTGCCGCCGGCTCCCTCCCGCAACACCTGGAAGGGGGGCCCGTGGCCGGGCACGATGACGTCGGCGATGGCCAGGACGCGGGCCCGGCTCTCGGCCTGCCGCGCGGGATCTTCGCTCAGGGCCGCCCACTCGCCCTCGTCCTCCTGGTGCTCGAAAAGGTCTCCGGCCACCACCACGCTGCCCAGGGAGGTGCCCCGCACCAGCAGGCTGACGTCGCTGCCCGTGTGGCCGGGGGTGAACAGCACCTCCAGGTGCCCCGCGTGGATCGGGTAGGGGACGCCCTGGCGCAGCCCCGTCGGCAGGTAGCGGCCCCCCGGCCGGCAGACGTCCGCGCCCACGATCAGCTCGGCCCGCGGGAAGAGGTTGAGGTTGCCCGCGTGGTCCGAGTGGCCGTGGGTGCAGACCACGTGCGCCACGTCCCCCGGGGACANAAAAGGTCAGCTAAGAACAAAAGGCGGGCAGGGCGACTACAGGCCCCCACTGCAGCCCCTCCGCCTGCGGGCGGACACCACGGCGTTCAAGATGAGGATGCCGACCAGGATGCTGAGCGCCAGCAGCAGGGCCACGGCCAAGGCCGCGTGTATGGCGGTGGTGACCCCCAAGGCGAAGAGGAAGAGAGTCCGGTGGCAAAAGTCAGGCTGGCCAAAGTGCTCGTAGTCAGGGGGGTAGATGGAGTAGACCCAGACGTTACCTTGGGGGGGGAGAGAGAAAGGGGGGGGAATGCGGTCAGAAAGGGCTCCGTCCTCCTGCCCTGAGGCCCCACGGCCACCCTCTCTCTAAAATCCACTGCTGACTCTGGGGATCGGGAGCGGGAGGGAGGGAGGGAGGGGGTTGTTCCAAGGGTGCTGTTGCTGTGGGCAGGGGAAGCTGCCTCCAGTCAGCCCCCCAGGAGCAACTTCAGAGGGACCCCAGCACACTTAACAGCCTTCAGCACAGCAACCCTCCATGACCTCTGGACCTCTGGCTCTGCCAGTTAAAGGCTGGAGGTCGTGCAGTTCTGTGCCCCCCCCCCATGGAAGGGCGAGGACCCCCCCCCAGGTAGCCCCTCCGCCTACCTGCAATGAACCAGGCGCAGAGGAAGAGGAACCCCGCTCCCCGCAAACAGTTGAGGAGCGTGCTCGGTCGGTCAGTGCCGTCCCCGCAGGGAACACAGCTCAGGAACAGGAGGAGGAGGGTAACGACACCCTGGATGAGCAAGTAAATGGGAAGGAGAGGCTGCCGGGGGCACTGACCAAGATAGACTGCTCCTGGGGATGGAGGAGCAACAGATTAGCCTCTGAGATTTTCGGACCTTCCTTCAATATGACGCACCCCAGAATACAGATCCCTCCTACTGGCCTCGGCCCCCTGTCCTTCCCTGGGCAAGAGGAGCCCAGGTTGGTGAAGCGGAAAATGAAAAAAAGACCCTTTCCTGAAATTTGGGAGACGGCTTCGCAGCCTTAGTCACCTCCCGGATAAAGGCGCCAAGCTGGCCACGGCTCCAACCGGTGCCTGTATCCCAGCCCAGGTGGGCATGCAAACTGCAGGTCCAGGTGGGAGGAGGAGAAAAAGCAGCCCGGCCCCCACTGGCCGATTCAGAGGCAGCCCAACAGCCAGGAGGGCCTGCAAAGCTGCCTCTATGCTCCGGCCAGGAGCTCCGGGCCTGAGAGGGAGGGGACGAAGGGACCCTCAGCCAAGGCAAATGCCCGAGCGGCCAAGCCTGGCACTACTAGCCGCTTGGGAGCCCAGCCGACCCTTCCGAGCACCACACCTTCTGGGTCTGCTTCACGGAAGCCCATCCAGGCACAAACCAGTGGTGCTTAGCAAGCCAGGATTTGGGTTCCACCAGCCACGGTTGTTGCAATTTCCTCAGCAAACGAGGAGGACCACGCAGCAGTTACTCAGCCCCTGTGGGAGCCGACCACTTCAAGGCGGGCCCAGCAAAGGATCCGGCACCACCGGAGCAGGGGCGGCAGGCCAGCCAAGGGGGCTGGTGGGGGTTTCACTCACCAATGGCGATTCCTGCCACGGGCAAGGCAGCGAAGAGAACCTTTCCTAGGGCTGGAGGAGGAAGAGGAAGAGGTTAGGTCACTCTGGAGATGGGGGAGTAGCAGCAAAAGCCAGGCGTGGGGAGAAAGAGCAGCCTACCCATCAGGAGGGAGTGCGCGGAGGAGGAAGGCTCTTCGGCGGCTCTCAGGAGAGGCCTCTCTGGCTGGGACTCTTCAGCCATGGCAGCTGCTGGTGAAGCCGAGGGGAGAACTGAAGGCGCTGGCTGCTCCTCCACGCCCACCCCACCCCATCTTAAGTATCGGCTGTCTCTGGCCTCCTGACCCAGGTGTGGCCTCCCCTTAGCAATTGTGATGGAGGGGGGGAGGGGGGAGGTTCAGCTCCTCCCTCCTTTGAAGCTCTCTCTGTGTGTGTGTGTGAAGCAATGAATTGCTTGGGTGGGAGGGGGGGCTCTTCCCCCACTTGTCTCTCAGCTGATGAGGGGGCTGCAGGCTCCCAAATGCCCAGCCTGGATGAGGCAACCAAGGGAGAATGGAGAAGTGCTTGGAAAGTAGGAAGCTGAGCTCAGAGGCCGGTTTTGGAGGGCTCTGCGTTGGGGGGGGGGAGAGGGGCAAGGGAGCTGCCTGACCTAAAGCTCCCTCTGGACCACCAGGAACTGAATCCGATTGTGCTTCAGCCTCTCAAAGCTTACTGGGCCCTTCCCTTGAATGAAAAGGGTGTCCAAGGCGGCTGCTAGTTGGAGGAAGCCTCCCACCGGGCCCATCCTGTGCAACTCCCACTGGGCCCAACCTGCGCAGCCCTCGGACATTCCTGGAGGCCCAGAAGGCGGGTCCTTTGCAGCACCCAGCCTGGCCATAAAACATGTCCTCCTCTTCCTCCCCCCCCCCATCAGGAATACTCTACCCCATCAGATACTCTATCTGCAGATTCCCTTCCTTTCCAAGGCGTTTGATTCTCATACATTTTGCATTTGGCTTTCCCCACTCTTTGGTCAC